GGTCTCCCGCGCGCTGCCCGCCGCGTGCGCAGCCTGTCACCGCCAGTAAGGTACAGGGTTCCCAGCTGCACCCACCAGTACTTCAAAACCGTGTGTTCGTGGCGTGAGAGGCGTTTAGTTTGCGGGTGCTCTCGTACCCGCAGCGAGCGCATCTCCCGCCGTGCCCTTCGCTCCGCAGCCGAAAATGGCCTCGCTCCTGCTGCTGCTGCTGCTAAAGGCGAGGAGACTTTTCCTATAGGTGGGAAGTGTAAGGAAACGTAGGTCTTGTGCTTGGAGCATCTCCATGGCCAGATCTACAGGTTCTTTTTCCCCACTTGTTCTGTAAGTTGAAATCAGTTTGTTAGAGTTAATTGGTAATGGAGACATGCATATTAAATTCTGATTTGGGCCTTTTAAGCTCATGGTCCTACTTGTTGTGTTTTTGTTGACCTTGCAGAGCAGCTCAGAGCTAATGAGCAGGTTTCCTTGTGCAGGGAACTAAAGTAAAGAAGTGCTCCAGCGCTGCTCTCCTGCTGCTCAGGCGTGTCCAATCCACAGGTTTAATCCAAAGCAAAAGCCCCTGAGATGCCATCCGTGTGAGGGTCAGGTCCTCAGGGCTAAGTGCTCTGCTTTGTGCTCTGCTCCTATAGCCTGGCCCAAGTAGCAGATGTAGATACCCCTAAAGAGCGTTATAAAAGGTGCTGAGTTGTCTGTCCTGAAGGCACAACCTTGCCTTGTAGACAGCACTGGGAATGTTTTCCCTGTTGCTGTACTGTTCTTGAGTAGCCAGCTCACATGGTGGGGAGTATTCATGCCTCTGCATTCCTGAGTTTGGTACTAGGAATGCAAACAACTGCCATGCTTAGCTGGCTTTGTGCTGTGAATGTTTGTCTGCTGGGAACCGAGAGCCAGATGTGCTTCACATAGTTTCCAGGCAGCACTGATCCATCAGATGACAGTAGCTATTGAGTGCTCTTATGGTGGCCCAGAGACATAAAGATGAAAGCCTCATGCCTGTCAGCACCTCCCCTGCCATCGCTGCGCCCCTTCAGTTTTCACTTTAGTCCCCTCACAAAAGCAAATGCCACAGAACATGATGTTGCAATGTTAACGACCTTTATTTTTGAGAAAGAAAATCCCAAGTTTTATAACGTTGAACTGTCAGACAAATTTGGGATACATTGAGCTTTGTTGTCAAATGCTTTGCTGCACCCACTTCCACTGCCCATGCAGCTGTTTGGAGCCTCAGCTGGGAACTCACCTTCCTATTCAGAACGGTGCTTTTCCATAGCATTTCCTGGATTAATTTTGCTAGGGAAGATGAACAATATTTGAATGGCCTCTCAAACAAAGGTATTTTCATGGAAGAAAAAAAAAATCTGATGAACAGTCAAAGGGAAAACACTATAGATAGACCTGGAATAATTTCTTAAAGAGTGACTTGTGTTGTTTCCCAGCTGCTCTGCCTTTAAACAGCCTCTTACCCGCAACTCAGGGGCTCCACCAATTGTAAAAGCAAGAACTAACCAGTGCCAGATTCAAGTTTCAAAATACAAACCATTTTAGATACAAGGAGCAAAGGGGTGGGGGGCTGGTTTATAAGAAAACTTCTAAGCATTATTGTAGCATAAATAATATGGCGTCTTTCACCTCAAATAGCCTAACACTTCATAAAGTGGTATGAGCTTCATAGTTGCTGAAACACAGCTATTTCTGAAGTGGAACCTGATACTTTTTTTTTTTTTTTTTTTTTTTTTTTTTCACCAGCAGAGAGCAATGTTTTAAGGTGGAGAGTGAAAGATACAATGTACAACCAGTCATAATATAATCTAGGAGGGCTTTGCAAGATGGAAAGATCAAGTAAAACCTACTTTTAGTAATAACGTGCATTCTGGTGTGTCATGAACATGCGTCCTTAGTTTACAAATGTAATTTATTTAAAAGAGCTACAGGCAACTCGGGTAACATTTTGTCCTCTCTCTTTCAGCAATACTGTCTTACAGCTCTTTGGTAGCAGATGCTCTGATTCCTTTCCTTTCTTCGTTTAGTTTAATGTCCAAGTCCCGGAGCTGGCTGAGGAACCCTGAATTCGGGCAGATGTCTCTGTGAGCGCTCACTGTTTTCAGAGCATCCACGAGTGTCATGTTTTCACGGATCATTAAAAAGGCAAGCACTAGAGACGCAGAGCGGCTCACCCCCATGGCACAATGAACTAACACCTTACCTGCAGAAAGAAAGGGGCACGGCAAGGTGAGTGGGCTTTAGCATTTCTAAAGCGAGAAAGACACAGGAAGGACAAAAACTACTAGAAGTAAGTTGGGAAAACAACAGCGACAGTTAGCAGATACTTATGTTTTCAGGGATGGTTAGCATAAGAGCATGCAGTACATCTCAGGCAAGGTGGTATTTCATACTGACCTCATGCACCTAACTTAGGCCTCAGATTATAATAATTGAAATTTTCTGTGGAAGGAGAAGCTTTCTGCGACTAAACTTGTTAGTAGAGTTTTCTGTGGAAAAAAAGCCACAGTTTTGGCAGAAAATTTTGGCCCAGCCCTGGCTGTGATCACTGACAAGTCCCATAAACTCTGTAGGATAGTCTGCATGTAAAAATGGACTCATAATTTACTGTATCTCAGCAGCCCAGTGTGAGCTATAACTGGGGATTTAACAAAGCACTCCAGTGAAAGCAGCAGATCTCGCAGCCAGTCAGAGTCGGAGCAAACTCTGGAACAAATGGAAATTATGATAACTAGGCTATAATCCAAACTCTGCTCACAAAAATTCAGCAGGCTGTGGGTCAGGCTCGTAGTTTTTTACTTAGTTCATTAACTTCTGCTGCTTCTGCAGCTCAATAGACAGTCTGAATAAAGCTCCAATTCTGCAAAGCATTTAAGCATGTGAAGCATTTCAGCCAGCGCTGAAGTGCCGCTGCTACCAGCTGAGTGCATCGGGAGCAGGCCTGCGGTACATGGGGCAGGATCTCCGGGCTGGAGCCCGTGCCGGTGTGCGAGGCGCGCGTGGAGGCACACAGATCCTGCCAGTTCTTGCAGGACGGACCCGGGGGGAGCACCCACAGTGCCATAACCTCTGCCCTTCCCTCTTGCTCCGCTCCTGGAATTGGTCCTTCCTCCCGCCACACAAGCCATGGGGCAGCCAGCCTTCCCCAGCTCCTGGGGACCTGGCTGTGGCCACCTTCCCTGCAGCACATGGCATAGGCACCCTTCTCCCATCCTCTGCACGGCGGTTCTGCGTGCACCTTCTTGAACTGTCTGCTGCACCTGAGGTTTGCTGTCTGCCTGTTATGGCAAGGAGAAGCCATTTGGCTTGTGTTGAAACTTCCTCCCAAAGCTTCTCTTTGCCTCTCTCTTACCTCCTGAAGTGTTTAAAGCTTTGCCTATGAAATTGGCAGCATCGTAGAAGAAGATACTTAAATCAAAGGAAGGATCATCAAATGCTTCTACTCCGTAGTACTCTATTTGCAGATCTTCGTAATATTTGGCTCCTGTGTTGATGCTATATGGCCCATCTGCTGCATTAAGGATATGAGTAATGTTGAGGCTTTGAAGAGTAGTTTTGCTCCTAGCAGCCCACCTGTTGAAAGACATGAAGGGCTCATTGGCAACACTCCTAACGTTCTGCTGAAATAGCATGGTTTGAAGTTAGTGCCTGCTCCCGCTAGGGAAGGATGCAGGAACTGCGTCTTGCTTACAGAGTAGCAAATTTCAAGAAGCCCATAGTGCTTTGCACAGAAAAATGTGATATGGTGTTGTGGAGAGCAGCAAGAGCACCGGCTTGCCAGTGGGATACTGTTAGTTAAGCAAATGCCTCCCAGCAATTAATCCCCTTGGAACATGGCTTACTGTATAAAGTGGTCAAGACTTTCCTTTAAATAGTTATTTAGCAAGTTCTAGAGATAATCTCTCATACATAGTGTGCATGGGTCACAAGGGCGAGAACCCATGTAGATGCAGTAGCACCTTGTTCCTGGTTCGGACATGAAGCTGCCGCATCATGCTCACCAGCCAGCTTCTCCCCCCTTCCCACCATAAACTGGGACTGAAGTTATTCCACAAAACTGTGATCGTTAACTGATGTATTCATGAGGAGGAGGAGTTGGGGAAAAATGAGCTGATGATCTATGTAATCTACAGCAATCCAAACAGAAGAAAACGCCAATAAATAGAAGTGATCACAAGAATAAGGTATTTGCATGAAAATTCCTGTTTGATATTTTCAGTTTGAAAGAAAGTCTGGATTTGGACTGGCAAAATCCCTGTTGTATAATTTGTTTTGGTCCTACTCCATCTGGCTCTTGATCCTGTTACTCCTATTTGAGTGTGAGGGCTACTGTGCTCTTGTCTGCTGACTTAGAGCACAGTTTCCAGGGCAGGTAACTCATCTCAGAGTTGACACCAATTTGGGATGGGTTCTTTAAGGACTTTTGTCTAGAATATAAATAATTCTTACCCTGCCAAATCTGCGGTGGTTCACAGAATGTAGAAAACCCAAGTGAGACACACTATGACTAAGTCACTGTTTTTGTACGTTGTGTTTTTCATGACATCCAAACTCCTCGTGTTTTCAGTTTTGGAAGCCTGTATTGCAAAAACATTCCTGCAGACCCAAAAGCTGCTCCCCAGTGTACCACACCCCTTCCTCCTCCTTCCAGGGACTGATAACAGCTTAATGATAGGACCATATGTTCTTACGCATCTCCCAGGTAAATATTTGGCCAGACTTGGTCCACATGATTGTCAGACCCTCCTCTGAACCAAAAGAGCCTCTGGAGGTCTGATAGGGCTGGTGTTTCATAGGAAGCTCTGCTCCCTGCACTGCTAGTCGGAGATGAAGAGTCTCTGCTGTGAGGCATCTTGCTCCTCTCTTGCACACGCTCGGGCTGTATCAGAGACAGCTTTTCTGAAATGAATTAAGAGGAAATTTTCATATAGAAATAATATTCCCTAGAAAGTAGTCGTGTTCATTACCCTCCAAATAGTATTACATTATTATAACTAGTGTGTGCAGCAGGGCCTGCAGGTGTTGCTAAAAGCATCGAGAGAGCAGGACTGACTCCGTGGTAGGACTCTACAGGCATGTAATGCATCCCCTGAGAAAGCAGCAGTGTAAGACAATATGATTTAATTTCTTGTCAAGTAATGCTGTTGAAGAAGAACATCCTGTGCCAACTGAATGCAACGCTGGCCGAACCTCGTAGGTGCATGTATTATTTCCGTTACTATAACGCCGATGAGTATATGCAGGAAAACTCTAGTACTTTATGTTGGAGAGTTACCGAAGTATTTGTGTACATTTCATTCTGGTTAGTTAAAACTGGAAGTTTTGAAAGGATGACTCGTTGGACTGCCTTGTACTTAGAAAGCTTCTAGGGCCGAGGTGGAAATCTTAGGATGTATATTCTTATAGTGTATGTGTATATGTATGTAAAATGTATGTGCGTACAGTTTTCTTTCATTTATAGGGATGTATTTAAACACATGTACACATACATACGCATGCATGTATACATATGAACAGATTTTCGCATGCATATATACATATCTATATATATGTCTGTACGTACATAAATAGAAATGGAGAGAATTTGAACTAGTTTTTTCTATCTCTCAGGTGCCTAGCCCTGAACACTCAGCTACACTGGTATACTTGCTTCTGTCTGTCTCAGTGTCTCCTTTGGGAGCTGTTCCACTTTGTATAAATAACGTGATAGCTATTTGCCTCCAGAGAGAGAGGCTGTTTCTCTCATCTGAGGGGTAGAGTACTTATCTGGGATGGGAGAAAAAAGAGCACCTGAATTTTGGGAAATCATAGAGCTAAAAGTTCTGGCTTTGTTGCCCTGTTTTGCTCCCTCACAGATCCTGCAGTGGAATATGGGCACCCCTTTTGCAATGTTGGTTTAGACCCAGCAAGCTCAGGCCAGCTGGTCCAACCTGAAGCAGAGCTCAGTTGAGAGCCAGAGTTCAAAGATATCCAAGTAGTCCCTTCTCTGAGGCTTTAGGAGCATTTCTCCTGCCAGGATCTCATTATCCTGAATTGCTGTTCTCGTCCCCAGAAAACATCGATGAGCTTTGTTTGGTTGCTTGTCGGTATTAAAGACATAATCAATGTGTGAGCCACACTAGAACTCCCCAAAGTGGGGTGACAGTGTTTATTCTGATGTGGCATCAGCTTTCACTCTAATGCCTGAATGCCCAAATCTAGAGTGTGGATTTATTTTCTCAGCAATTCTAGAAAACAAGTGCTGATGGGGCCTTTGGAAGTAGTCTAGTCTGTCTCCTGCCCCACAGCAGCAGCAGCCAGATGAATGTTGCTCCTAAAGCAGCAACAACTACTTTGTCTGAACATCCAGGTATGTTATTTTTAACGGTGTAGGCTGATTTGGGGAATAAGCAGAAAGCAAGGGAGAATATCTTGTTGCTTATAGAAAAAGAAATAGAGATGACGCAAGGCCTGTTATTAACCACACTACATATATTTCTGTGACCTCAGACTACATTTGCTTCCCCTGCCCCTTTCTTCCTCCCCCTCCTCACAATTATTAAGAGCAGTTATAGCTTTTTCTATGTTCCAATAAAAAGGAAGTCTCCCTAGGGCAATTTCTTAATAAGCAAAATATGAAAAACACAATAAAAATGATGGGAGAGGTGGAAAAAAAGCCAACTGGTTTTACTTTCAATGATGAAGGAAAAGAAATGCAGGGAAGTGGAGAGGAATATAGGGATAAAAGCCTACAGATTTTTTAGGGCAGATAACGTAACATCAAGAGCTTTGGTAAAGGAGTATGTTGTGCAATCCCAGCACGGATTAGCATGAAGAATAGCACAGAAGAAGATATTGTGCATTGCCCTACAAGTTTTACTGCCTTGCGAAAGTCATGCACTGTGCTCAAGAGCTACTGCCAGCATCGTCATGATGACCTGTTTGTACTTTCACCAACACAGAACGTTAAGCTGAAGCAGTAAAAGGAAATCAAGAAAAAGATAATGCAGTTTCTACATCAGGAGATTCATAAGACCACAGACTCATTTTCAAGGAGTGTGGCTGACTCTCAATAGCTGCAGATGTTTAAAGGCTGAAGTTGTGGAGGTAAGCAAATGGATACTAAACTTTTGGTTCTTCTAGCTCCCACTGCTTTAAACTTCTGTTGTAGCCTGTCAGCTAGTTATACTAATGGAGACTATTAGCAGAGAGACCTATGTTGTGAGGCCTCTTGTTCAAGACTTGACTCTGAGGAGGTTCTCAAAGAATTGAGTTGTTTTGGTGCTGGTGAAACTTAGCAGGCAACTCCAGCCTTTGCAGCCAGGGAGGTGCTTTGCAACAGAGCTCCCTTTCATACAGCACTCCTCTTTCCAAAAAGTGCATCAGCATCATTTACTTCACATGACTAATGCCAGACAAGTGAGCTCCTCATGTCAACATGAAGCATAGCTCCTCCCAAGCGCACCGCTCCATCCTGCACTGCACTGGCCTTGAAATTGAATTGCTCTGCAGAGCCTTTGGGATAAGCTTGGAAATAGCTCTACCAGATGATTGGACTAATGAGGAAAGTAATATGAATTTTTTAATTGAAGGCCAGGGACTTTGCTGAGGGTTTCCTCCCCACCCCTTCTACTTTAAGATACTGCAAAGCTAGCAAAAGTGCTACATTACTTCAAGCTTCTCCTCCTGTGTGGTTCCCAGAAGCCGCTCTAGTTGGAACCAGCCAGTGACTGCAGGAGGGCAGGAGCCCTTGTAACTGGGAAAAAAAAAATAAAAAAATCTGTCTTACAAGGTCACTAACGTTTTCCACAGAGATCTAGACCATGCAAGATGGATAGGATTACTTTTCTTTTGAACTGTAGACTGGAAGTACCTAAAGACCATCTCATTAGATTCTTTCTTTCTATCTTCCTTTTTTTTTTTTTTTTTTTTGCTGGTCAAAACCAGAACAGCAGCAACAACAAAAAAAAATTCCTTCTACCTATAGGAGACATTTGAGACCGGATAGAGATTTTAAGGGCCGTTCAGATGTATTAACCTCCTTGCTTCCCCGACAGAATACAAGGTAGCACAAGCTTTAAAACTGTTTTGTCATTACGCCTCAGTTCGCAAACACATGATTTAGGTGCACCCCAAATGGCCAGGGCCTGCTTGGCTCCACAGCTGAGCTGTGGCACCCGAGTCACCTCTCTAGGTGTTAGGGAGGCTTGGATTGTCCTGGTGGGCACGCGAGCCACCCTGAGTGGCACAGGCTGCGGGTGGCTGTGGGGCTGGCATTGCCGAGCTACAGGGAGCCCCAGGAAGGGCTGCGGGTGACTCCACACACTGTTTGCATGAAGTTGGGTGCAGCTCCCGAGGGACTTGGTCATTCCAAGACCTAGTCTACAATAACCTAGTCGACCTTTGTATCTCCCTGATACTATCCGGCCACTTGAGTACTGCAAGGCTTTTTTTGTTGGGTTTTATTTATTTTCCTTTTCTCCACTGGAAACAATTGCTGTTTTCTACTGAAGATTTTTTTGGCAAAGAAAAGAAAAAAACACACAACCCCCACTGACTTGAATTGTCTAAAGTATTTAACGGATTTGTGTTGCATTTGCAGATTGCAGTGAAAGAAAGCTCAGCAAAGTTCTGAAAAATAAAAGCAAGCACTCCAATATTGTAGGTTTGAAATAATTCATTTTGTTATTTCCAAAAAAATTATAATTTCCGTTTTTCTATTCAAAGTTACTTTTGTTTTGGAATTTTACTTTAGCATTGCATAAAATCTTTTAAAATATTAAAACAAAATTAAGCAGCTTGTTCCTGTTTGAGGAAAAACATGTTTTGTTTAACTAAAAATGAACACAAACTCACTGAGCAGCCATGTATTTGCCTAGCCCTAATTTTCACCTCTATAACAGCAGGAAAGGCTCTTGCCATTTTGCAATGATTGTTACCTTGTCTCCTAAAGACCAAACTGAGCTGTAGAGAGATTAAATGACTGTCTGAAGTCCCAAGAGGAGTCTGTGACAGGACTTTAGTTGGGTCCCAAGTCATCTTTCCTTTATCCCTTTTGCTAGCACCTTCCTAGCTGGCACACCTCTGCTTGTGGTTGTGATGGTAGCCCGGATGGGGAGATGTGTCTTTCAATAACAAGATCTTACATGAGATTATTGATAGCCTCGGGCACAACAGGGCCTGCATGGACCTGTGGTTACTGCACCACAGTTTTGGCTGGACATGTGGTTACTATAATAACACAAACACTGGCTAACAATAACATGATACAGAAAACTCCTGCAGCCAAATATCCTAAATTCCCTGAATCAAAACCTGACAAACTAAATGGTGCAAAATACCAAAGCATGACATCAGAATATAATTCACATGGGGGAATGCCTCTCAGAAGGCATCTCTGCACTCATCTTTTACACTCCTTACTCTTTTCTTTCAGGTAGTGCTTAACACTATGGCTCTTTGTCCTCCTGATGGAAAAATCCAGATGGAAAAAAGTGTGGTTCACAGGGAAATGATCATGTAAGTGGAATTAATCTTTCAGATACTGTAATGTGAAATCCGATCTTCCTTTTTGTTAAGAAGACCCAATCTGTGTGTCTACATTTTGGTCAAAAGCTGACACTAAGAGAACCCAGGAGTCTCTTGAGGTAGAGCTGAAAGCCTCATGTGCAGAAACAGGCACATTTAAAAGCGATAGCAAAGTTAAAACTGCCAGATGGGAACCTAGCAGGCAACCGAGAGGGGAACTCTCTGTTTTCCTTGCAAGCCTACAGGGGCTTGTTTGCAGGAATTAGAATCTCTCACCAGCAGTTCACTGCAGTTCTAATACCAAGCGGTATTGAAAATGAGAAGCAGGTTATGGCTGATGGTTTAAATGAGGCACCTATGGGAATTTAGAAATGAGATCCTGGACTCGTCTCAGTGTAGACCGTGCACATGGCAGAGCAATATTGCTTTCTTGGCTGACTGCATCACATATTATGGCCTTTTATTTTGCCCACACTCAAACAGCGGAGAACAGTGGAAGTTCATTGCTCCTGCTCGCTGTTTAAACCCTGATCTGCCTTACCAGAGGCAGTGCCCCTGAATAATGGAAAGCAGAATCGGTCCCTCGGCCTTAGTGTGGGCATGTGTTCAACGCAGCACTGTATTAATGCCATTGCCATTATTCCAGAGTGAAGAGAAAAGCAGAATGTACAATTAAAGCTCTGTTTCGGGTTTTAGGAGAATTTACTACCCGGGAAAGATGCCAGATCGAGGGCTCTGGAAAACACAGCCCTCTCTTTAACTGCAGCATTGGGAAGGAGTGGGAGGAGCGGAGGAGCCCTGCAAGCCTCCTCCACGGCTACCCCTCAGCTCAGCTCGCAGATGTCCCTTGCCCTAGGCTGGCAGCCATGTTTTACTGGGTGGGAGAAAAATCTGAGTCTTCACACCTCTTCACTGCTTGGTCTCCCTCCTGACACCTCCACTCATGTCCGGCCTTGTACATTTATGATGGGGCCCTCTGACTCCTTCAAACTGAGCTGGAAGGTACCAGCTTCTGCTTGCGAGGAGCCTGAGCTGGGCTGAAGAGCAAAAGACTCCTTCCTGCGTGAGCCTTCCCGTCGCTGTGCAGGGCTGCCCCTGGGGCTAGAGGAGCTGCTGCAGGGCAGAGACAGCCTGCCGCTGCCCCACAGGACCTGTGAGCACTGGGGGACGGCAGGGATATGCGAGGCTGTTTCAGGAGCGGGAGCAGTCAGAGGGCAGGGCAGGTGAGGGTAACCAGCCTCAGCCAGGGGTTCGGATAGCCAGGAGAGCTTGCAGTGGTGAGGCAGGTCCCAGGTGAAGGGGGAAGTCAAGGGGGTGCGCGGCCAGGCATGAGCAGAGCTGCGAGGTAGTGCAGGTGGAGATGAAGCCTGAGTGTCTCAGCTCAGATGGGCTCCTGAGTGAGGTGGGAAGCCCCAGCGAGGCCTCCTACCGCTCGCTCTCACACGGCTCCTTCCAGCAGCCCCATCCCAGGTCACACAGCCACCGTTGTCCTTGGACAAGGCAAGACCCCAGGAGGGGCAGAGCTTGCTGAATCAGGCTCATGGCGCTGCTAGCAGGTTTCAGGCTCGTGGGTGAACTTCGCCTGTGCCCTGCTGGTTTTTGGGGAGAGGATGTTATTGCTATCATAGAAGAGCGCCTGGAGACCATTTCCTTTCCTTTGCAATGTAACGGATCTGCGCATATTTTCCCAAGACCCTGTCTTTTCAAGGGGGACAAACTCCATGCTGCCTCCAGCCCCACCCTGCCTCCCCCAACCCCCCTATTTAAGAGCCACACAGCTGAGGAAGAGGCACTTGCCCTTGCACGGGTCTAACCCTGCAGGAAAGGATGCTTGGAAAATGGGAGTGGCAGGTGGAAAACTGGGGGGTCATACTTGCAGTGACAGGCCATGGCTATGGCAGGACGACAGCTTTTAAATCTGCAGCTTTCAGATTCAAAGGAGATAAAAAAAGAAGTATTACCTTAGCAGCTGGCATCTGTGAGCTATTCAGCGCACCATCCCCAGCGTGACAGCGCTGCCCTCCACAGGCCCCTACCGTAATTTCCAACTCGTTTGTGGGTATCTGTCAAGCCTAGGGTGATGCTTTCCCCTTTAATTCTCTTCTGGGGCACTCCTGTCCAGGGTACCACAGCTAGGAACTAATCCCCCACAAAAGTACTGTTTTTCTTGACACATCTTGACTACACTTGTGCTTCTCCCTGAATTAAAATAGCTGTAGTTTTAAGTCCTGCTGCCAGCAGCCATAACTGTGCTATATGCTATAATCAGGCAAGCACACAATCACCATGCAGCTACCTGCTTCTAATAGTAGAAACTTCACTCTAATCTTATATAACGGCAGTAATGGAGCAGAGAGGCTGTGGCTTGTGAGGAGCTTAGACAGAAAGCTTCCTTGGGCAGCCCATGCCCTGAGGGCAGAGGAGCTCCAGCGAGAGCAAGAAAAACAAAGTGACCTTGATATTGATAACAGTTCAGTGAGTGCTGTCACAGCCAGCGCTATGCTGAGATTTCATTGGTGTCACAAGCTGTCGATAGGCATAAGTTATGGGCAGTGCTTGTATAAATGATGTCAAAGAGACCAGACTCTGAGGGGGGGATGGGCGGGGAGGGAAATGCCTTGCAAGCTTCAGGAAAAACAAACAAGGATGTTAATACATTGCTATTAAAAGGTTCTCCAAAGTGCCTGCCCTTCTGCAGGCAGAATGGATTTGTGTGACTGTGAATTAAAGGGGTTTTTTTTCTTCTCCTTGATTTACTCCTCAAATGATTTTTGTCTGACTGCTGCTGTCAATACAAAATTGACAATGCTGTCAAGCTTGCAAGATTTCAGAATATTTGAAGGCAGGAGTAAACAGGGTTTGATATTCCTCAGACATTTGGCAGGGGTATCTTTGAGCTGTCTGTTTCTCCCTGCACTTTTAATGTAAGCAGTGAAGCGCGCTCCTTGCCTTGCCTCGCTTGAGAGGGTACATATGAAAAAGGCGCCTTTTTCTAAGGTTGACAAAGCTGTACAAACTCTTTACAGTGGAATCAAGAGCAAAAAGACTTCAAAACTCTATAGTGGAAGATCTATTTTGGCACTTCAGTATTTTCAGGCACATAATAGAGCTTTCAAGGGACGTTCTCAGCTTTATTTGGGCAGAGTAGAATGTTTTTTCTTTAGGTTTTTTTTAATTGCTGACTTTAAAATAATGATTTGGGTTTTGATTAAGTAATCTTTTAAGTAGGGTGGTTGTATGTCACAAAGGAATTGACCACTGATGAGGTGCATGAGAACAACCAAGAGAAGATATTAAGATCTAGAACTGGGGTTTATTTTCTCTTGCAAACTTTTAATTATCCATCTGATGAATATTTGCTCCTAATTTCTTATCTTTAATTTGAAGAAATAAAACTGTGGGTGGCTTTCCTGTTGCTCCTGCCTGGTATTGGGGTACCAGACAAACCAGAGTGATCCAGAGAGCTGCCTAGTCAGTGGGTGTGAGTAAAGCGGCATGTGCAGCCACCTCTGCTGGCTGTGGTGGATGAGGGGACAAGGGCACAGGGGACATGCTTGCTAATCTGTGGAACATCCAGTCCCAGGGTCACTGGGAGAGCTTGTCCTGCCGTTTGCTGGCTGGTGGGAAGGAGTTTACCCACCAGCCCCTGCTGCACTGTCTCTGTGAGGAGACATCAGCACACTGCTGCCCCACTCCCCAGGTACTGTGTTGGTGCCACCTGAGTCTTGCAGTGGTCAGGCAGTGCAGGAGCAAGGGTTGTTATGTGCCAGCAAGTTTTTGGAGGGTCTTTTCACCTTCATCTTGCCAGGTTTTATTCTGCTGTTTTTCTGATGCTGTCTCCTGCTGAGGCTTGGTATGGACTGTAGATCAATGCCAAAACCGGCAGGGTGATGGAGGAAGAGCCTCGAGCAAAGCAGCAGCCTCACAGTTCCCAAGAGGGAGAGTCAAGGACAGGTAGCAGGGAGGGGTGCAGCCTTGCCGGAGGTTGTGCCTGCTGCATGCAGTTTGTAATAGACAGTTTGGGAACAGGCTGCAAATGTAACAGTCCATTTTCCCAAAGCAAACCTCAGTGGCTCCAGCACAGCCCTGTGAAGGCTGTCCTCTGCTTGAGAAAGTTACTGTGAGATGGAATACGTTACAGACTGTGAGCTTCTCAGGTACAATAGTAATGGGAGCCACCCGTGAGCTATAAATAGCATTAACATCCTTTCTCTCCAATACCTGGCATCCCAAGCAGTCAGTTTTGCTGGTGCTAGTGAAAATGAACAAAGCTTTGAAGAGCTTCTATTTATGTTCTCTTTGCAGGATGGAATTTTGAGAGTAGTTTTTCTCACTGGCTCTGAATTTTAAGGGAAAATATTGGCATTTTTGCCTTTTGGATTTTTTTTTAAATTATAATATATAATTTTCATATTTTTAGCATAGCTATGTGGGAAAAGGTATTGTGACAGGAAAGTGGGGATCACAAGTAGTCATTTACAAAGAACCTCTGTGTGATAGTGGAAAAAGGGGGGAAAAAAACCCAGGAACCAAAATTTAGTCTTATATAAATCTTATATATTTTTAACAAAATACTGAAAATGTTTTAGTTTAGAATTAAGCAAATAATGCAAAGTGTTTTGGCATGATTTGTGGTGTTTACTTGAGAAATCAGACAGAAATAGTTGTTGCAGTAGAAGGAAAAGCTTTACATGCCTGTAAGACAAGATCTTCCTGTGGTTTCGTAGGAAACAAAAATGTCTTTTTGTCAAAGAGCTATGAAGACCTGAGAGCAAAACTGGCAAAAGGGACTCTTTTCAAAATATTTAAGGTACATTTGATGATGTCCTGGTATAAAATGGTAAAGCCTCACATGTTATGAAACTCTTCTTTGCTGTTACAGACATGCAAGAAACACAAGGTCTACAAAACAGACATTTTGCTCTGGGATAACCACTGCTAGTAGATCAACTGTTAGAGCTAGAAGAATTAGGCAAGCTCTTCAATATGCAAGAAGGGCTATATTTTTTTTCCAATTATGCCAACTGATCTAGTTATCTTTTACTGGCAATCCTTGCCTTAGACCAGCACAGTGGCACTGTTTACTGAAACGCTGTGATTTTTCATATTGCCAGAAGATGGCAGAAGAAAGCAATCTTGAGTTATTTAAAAATAGACAGTATACCCATGACTGGCATTTAAAGTGAGCCGTTACTGATACATAAGAAACTGTACTGGTTGGATGGAAGAAAAATGTGAAATGTACTCGATAAATTTAATTGGTATTGACCTGGGTGTATACATGATCTACACTGTATCCTTTCCCATGCAGGTCTTCTGTGTAAGAAAAGCCTGTAACAGCGCTCATTTTTTCCTATGCATAGTGCCTTTGGCCTGTTGGTTTTGCTCCACTGGCAAAATCTGTTGTATAAACAAGTCCAGGACGTAATGCAACCCCCCAACGTAAAAAGCAGGGTGATTCTTTCAGTTTTATTTTCTCTCTGTCCAAATATGTTTCTCTTCCCCATCCCAGTTCCTCCAGTCATAGCAGGAAAAGAGGCAAGGCAGTGCAAACATCCCCTCTGGCCTTCAGGAAGAGAGGGAGGCGCGAGGGGCAGATGCCTGGTGGGAGAACACGCCTGAGCACTGACAACCTTTTGCATTGAGTTGCTGGACTGGGCACTGTGCTAGCGGTGGTGGTCACCTCAGCCAGCCTCTCTCCTGCTGATTCTTCAGGGGAAAACTGACCCTTCAGTAACACGGGTCTCAGAGGGGACACTTCCACTGCCAGGACTGAGCCTCTCCCAGGAGCTGGCAGGGCTTCGAAAGGGCCTGGATGGAGGAGTCCGTGGTGTTCATGCTCTCACCCCAGGTGTTTTCACTTCAAATATTTGTCTTAAAGGAAATGAACCCTCGACAAGAATGGAAATTGGTTTGGAAAGTGCAATCAGCCTGGCTGGGGGCTTTGAGTCAACCAAAGGCATTACTCCCCCCCCTCCAGAAGGGGTGCTTCCCTTTCGTCCTCCCAACAGATCGAAGAAACCCAAAGAAAACTTGCAAATGCTCTTGGGCGTCGGTGAAAATTACCGGGCGCTTATTAACG